AACAAACTGGTTTTTGACTATCCTCGAAACATCAATGGTATATACCGTTTCCTTAACTTCCTTAACTTCCTCATTACTATTACTATTATTCTGTATGCTTCTCTCCATATTTCTAGGTTACTTGTTTCTTTTCGCTGACATCGCTATATGCTGACGGCACGAAAAATACCGTTCCAAAATGAAAACTGCGTTTGCATGAAAAGCATGCTTATGAAATTGGAACACTATTGGTAGCATGCACTTATGACGACGTACTCGCAGCGCTGACAAACAATTTTGGAACATAGCCTTCGATTCGACGGTCGGTGCGTATATCGATGACGGAACGACCGTTGGCGGTGCCGGCGGTGGTGGTAGCGCGGGTAGCGTCGGTGACGGCGAGAACACGAGAGTTGACGAGAGTGGTGCAGCGTTGCCAACCGTACGATCTTGATCGTACAAATATAGATAATATAGATCTTTGTACGATGTACGATCCAAAGAGTGAGATCGTACGTAAAAGTACGATAATTTGGCAATTTTGATTAAATTTTAAGAGAACACTCTTCGATGATAACCGTCGACAATGTTTTACCGACTGGTCAAATAGGCGCCATCAGTCACAGCGCTAGAGCAAGGAAAATTCCTAGGCACTGGTCGTTAGGTTAGGTTAGGATTAGCTGGTGGACATTGGACAATCACAACATGATCAAACAAGGTGCCCCGAAAAATACGCAGTCGCACATATAGAACGGTATATGGTCAGTGAAATCGCGTCCGTTCTGATTCATCTCACATCTAGTTAATGGCATGAAAAGTACACTTTTTATTAAAAAATTAGAGTCCAATCCGCTACAGAGAATTGAAACAAGAACTAACTTTGTTTAAAATTTAAATGGTAAGGGCCTGAGCACAATAGAGGAACAAGAATTAGATATTAAGATTTTAACCTATCAAAAACTGATTACATCGGAATACACGGTTTCTGATAGGTTGAAATCTTAATATCTAATTCTTGTTCCTCTATTGTGCGCAGGCCCTAAGATATACAATAATTGAATAATATATTAGATTAGGGTCGCCAAGTTTGTAAGCGGTCACTTGGTCGGTATACTGGC